TCTTGCCTGTCTACCTATCTACCTATCTACCTACCTATCTCCCTATCTACCTATCTACCTATCTACCTATCTACCTATCTACCTACCTACCTACCTACCTATCTATCTATCTATCTATCTAGCTACCTATCTACCTATCTATCATCTATCTATCCATCTGTCTATCTGTCTATCTATCTATCTATTCATCTGTCTATCTGTCTATCTATCTATCTACCCATCTGTCTATCTACCTACCTACCTACCTACCTATCTATTTCTGTGTCTGTCTATTTATCTCTCTGTCTATCCATCTACCTACCTACCTACCTACCTACCTATCCATCTGTCTGTGTAGTATCTGTCTGTCTATCTATCTATCTACCTACCTACCTGTCTACCCATCTGTCTATCTATTTGTCTATCAGTCTATCAATCTATCGATCTATCGACCTACCTATCGATCTATCTATCGATCGATCTATCGATCTGTCGATCTATCGATCTGTCGATCTATCGATCTGTCGATCTATCGATCTGTCGATCTATTGACCTACCTATCGATCTATCTATCGATCTATCGATATATCGATCTGTCGATCTATCGATCTGTCGATCTATCGATCGATCTATCTATCTATCATCTGCCTATTACTTATATACCGACCAAATCTCTAACTATCCGTCTATCCATCTATCTAGCTGTCCAGCTATCTGCCAAACTATCTGTCTGTCTACACAACCTTTTCCCTGGTGCCATTCTGGAATCTTCTGATTGCTTAAAAGCAGACCTGAGGCTCTTTCACGGCACTTCTGCAGCAGCGGTGCAGCACATTTCGGATCAGGAGTGGCTTGGATCCACAAACAACCTGAGCCGCTAAACCGGCTAAAGTCCTCTACCCTAAACCCAAACCCCTGCACCGCCAACCTAAACCTCTAAACCCCTAAGCCCTTGCAGCCCGAAACCCCGGCCAAAGCCTAAACCCATCCGCTCGAGCTTCTTGAGGTTCCGGCTGGATAAGGCCGGGAGCCACAGGCACAGACGCACTTCAAACTGCCCTTGTACCACTATTCGGAACCATGCGCCCATGGCAGGGGCACGCTCTACGGCAAGGGCATCTACTTTGCGGAGTGTGTAACCAAGGCAGTTTCGCACACATTGAAACGCTGCTTTAGGTTCTAGGGATGTTTAGGGCCTAGGGTTCAGCATCTTGAAAAGACACGCCTCAGGCAGATGAGTACTGCGAGGAGGATGCAGATGGCTATTGCTGGATGCTCTTGTGCAGAGTAGCTTTGGGCAAGGTCATGACGTGCAAGGCCCCCTGGGTGCACTTAGTCTTCGCGGAGTTGGACCAGCTCCTTTCAGTGTGTTCTCCGGAGGAGTTTATGCTCTTTGCAGTCGATTTTGCCAGTAGGAGCATATCGTCTCAAGTTGACAGTGTTCTGCTCACTGGATGGCTTTGTCACCGAGTGTGTCCCCATGTGCTCATGTGCATGTTGACAAAGGAGAAGAAGCCTCCAGCTGACATCTTGGATCAGCGCGGGGCCTATGTGCAAACCGTTGGTGGATAGTGTCACCAAAGAATCTGGCGATGACTCCGGTAGCCCGTCGGCTGTGTTGAATGCATGATATCGATGTCGTTCTGCTCTGCTCGTCGCCGAGATCCGAATTGCCTGAGTGAGGTGCAAGGCTGGCGGATACGATTCTCTGCTTGGAGACCGCTGGGCTGCTGTCACATCCTCGGCCAATACTATACTATACTATACTATACTATACTATACTATACTATACTATACTGTAACATACCAAACTAGTATATTATAATATACTATACTGTAACATACTATACTAGTATACTATAATATACTACTAGACTGCAGAGTCGAGCCGTGTCGAAGCGAGGCCCAAGGTCGGACAGCTCGGCGCAGCATAAAGCAAAGCTGCTACACCCGAAACTCCAATTTTTCCTAAAACGTCCGAATCCGAAGCTCAACATCCCAAAACCTAAACCCTAAACTCCCACCCCCCCAAAGTCCACAAAAGTCCGGTTTCAACACCCCAGCACATCCCAAGCCCTTACGACCGAAGACCCGAAACCCTACGTAACCCATGAGCAACGGCTGCAGGTGGGGACCTTCCGGGAGTTCATTCTCTATGATTCGGACCAGGCCAGGCTAGGTTTCTGGAGGTCTTTCAACAGGTCTTCGGAGATTTTAGGGTTGAGGAGGTAGGTTTTAAGGTTTAGGGGGTCAGGGTTTTGGCGTTTGGGGTCTTAGGGTTTATAGGCGTTGTTTGGGTTTTGCTTTTTCATTTTTTTTGATTTCTGGGTTTTTCGGTCTCGAGTTTCGACGGCCGGAAGCGTTCGAAGCGATCCTGCCAGGTCTACCCGGCCTTCATCCTCCGATACAGGAGATGGAGTGAGGCTCGGGCCCGCAGAGATGGCTCAGAAGAGCAGCAGTTAATGCAGCTACGAACGGAAAGGAGGAAGATGAGTGGCAGGGATGATATATACTGGTAATGGAGAAGCAACAGGGTAGGAAGAGCAAGACTCGTAATCAGAAGACTTCTTATTGCAAGAGCACGTTGACCCACGTTCATGGCCCAGAACTCCTTTTTTGGTCTGCCGCTGTTTTTTGTGGCTCGAAGGGGGGGATGGGGGATGGTGAAGGATGCCAATCAGGGAGATGGCTGATGTGGAGACGGGATTCCTCGGGTCGGCGCGGGAGGCTTCCTCCTCCCTTCACAGGTGCAGGAGCTGCCTGAAATCCCTGGTGGGCGAGGGCTGGGAATTCTTGATTGATCTCTACTGGCCTCGTGACGGTGTGCATTTTTGCACCTACATCTGCTTCCTCTTCTCCTGTGCCTGGACGGCTATGTGGTTGAGCAGGCTTTCCGAGGGCCAGTGTGGCAAATTCGGGGTGTTGCTGGTCGGCGCTCCGCTCTGTTTCATGGAGATCTTGGGCCTGCTCGTTTATTTCACTATGGCCATCGTCTGCCTGAAGGTGATCTGGTACTACGATGACGACTTGCAGTCTCGAACGCTAGAGCTGCAGGGCGAGTTTGCAAGTTTTCTGGCAGCGACGGTTTCAGCCCTCAGCCGAGCAGAGCAGGCGATTCTTGAGCTGCAGGCGATCTTGGACTGCCTGGCCCAGGAGATCTGCCAAAGCCGGGCCAGGGACGCACTGCGCCTGGTCTCCCGCATCGAACGCTGGGAGCGTCTCTCTCCGAGCTTTCCTGTCAAGGCAAAGGACATCACCCCGAGCCTTGCCAGGCTCCTACTCTTGCCGCAAGATCGCGCTGAGGGCCTACTTGCAGTCCGCGATGGCGACATAGTGGGTCAATCCGAGCAACTCGCCGATGTCTGCTGTGCTTCGTGGACAAAGCGCCTTGGGGACTTTCGTGCGACATCCCGTGAGCTGCGGAGGAATCCTGTCGAGCTTACCGCGGAGCAGATCGAGAAAGGCATCGCCATCGTGGCTGCCTTTAAGCCCGATGGTCAAGAGGACCCGAACCCTTCCCTCGACGTGGGAGGCTGCCGGATCCCCTTGCGTGGGAGCTTTGACAGCATGAACAAGGCCGCTCTTCTGAAGCTTCAGGCCGACGGCTATCATTTCCTGTACTACGAACTAAGCCGCTCCACTGCACCCTTGGGGAGCTTGGACTTCGCCTGTGACGTGGCCTGCTGCATTCCTCATATGTGCTACTTCTTGCCGCGCGCTTTGGCCACTCTCTTTCGGTGTGGCGGCTGTTGTGGCAGACGCGTTTGGGGCCCGGGCTTCATGTTTTCTTCCTTGCCCTCTTACCCACGCCGGCTGGCCGTAGGCTGTTGGTCGATCGTGCTCCAGTCGCGGCTGCACGAGCAGGTGCTGCTGAGCTTGTGCTGTGCAGCCATCTTCTGTACCTACAATGCAGCCACTGTTGTGGTCGGTCTCACACAAGGTTGTCCGCACTTCGAGGAGGGCACCTGCACCACCTACCTCCTCCGCAAATGCGCCGGCACCGTGCTCACAGCGGTTTACGTCTGCTCTATGGGCTTCTGCTGCCGCAGCATCTCCCGCCTGGATCCTGTGGTTGTCCTTTGCGACATGCTTGTGCGCTTGAGGACGGGCTTCAAGAAGGTCCAGGTCTTCAATGCTGCGGTGCAGAGCGAGGTGAAGCTGGCACGGAGTCGCGAAGAAGTGCTTCGGCAGGGCAAAGAGTACTGGAAGCGGGTTGGCAGGTGTATTGATCGCTTGGATTCCTTGGACTATACAGAGGCCAATGTCAGCGAGGCCGTGACGCTGCTCAGGGCTTTGCAGAACCAAGCCGAAGGAGACACCTGAAGGACGGATTCAGAGGTGCAAGAAGCGGGAGACTTGGAGTGTGCAGTTGACCCATATCGCTCGCATCGCTCGCCGAGAAAGCACGCACTCCAGGGCGATGCCTGGTGGTGTGCCCCAGAAACCTTCACCTGTGTCTGCACAGTTGTAGGCTTCTCTATAAGGGGTTTACAAAGTGTTGTGTCTTGAGATGTCTTGAGGCTTTGAAGATCTCTGGCAGGGTTTGTTAGGATTTGGAGCAGGGAGCCGTCCCTGCCCAAATGTTCCCCAGAAGGATGAAGAATAGATTCTGCCAGGCAGCCTTCTGCCGGAGCATCCGGGAAAGTGCAGACAGTGGGGATCCGGTGGCGCACGACCTTTACCCTCACGCAGCGCCTGGCCCAGGATTTGGGGAGGCTTCCGTCTTAGGAGTCGTTCAGGTCTTCGGGGAGTTTAAGGTTCAAACCCGAAGCCTGAGCCGAATGCAATAGGTTCTGTGCTAGGTGATTCTCAGTTCGGCCCATGATCTCCTCGAGGTTTTCTGCCTACAGGGCTTCATCTGAGTGTGATGACTTCCGCGAAATGGGTTTGAAAGGGTTCCTCTCGGAGGTTTTGGGCACGACCTCCTGTGACCACCTCCGCTTCAGGCGATTCTGGCTGAAGAACATCCGGACTCGACCGTGAGGCCGGTCTGGGGGGGGGGGTGACTAGCCGCACCAGAGGGACGCAGCTGTGGCAAGCGGCAGGTATCGGCTGTCGCTGCTGATGGAAGCGAAGCTCTGCTGATTTCATCTCCCAAGCAGCGCGATGACTTCAGGGACGGGATCCAGGACTGGTCGACTGGCCCAAGGAAAATGCGAGACAGGGAGTCCGGAACAGCACATAGAGCCTGTAAGACTGAAGACCGCTTATCACGACGTACACCCGCTAATCCGCTAATCGAGCTCTCACAACAAAAATCCTATACAGCCCTTCAAACATTAAGCAACTCCCTCAACCCCTTTTGAACAAACCCCCGCAAACCATCGTAAACCTGCCTTACGCCAAACCCTTCTAAAGCCCTGAGGTGCCACCAGCCTAAACCCGAAACCCTTTTCCCTAAACCCTAAACCCTAAGCTTAAACTAAACCCTAAGCCCTAAACCCTAAACTCAGCCCTAAAAAGCTGCAGCCTCAAAAACCCGAACCCCCCCGGAAAGCCAAGGCACGCCGAGAACGTGGTGCCGGTGCTCTGCGAGGCACTGAAGGATCCTCGGAGGCGCGTTCGGCTCAATGCGCCTCTGCTTGCCTTTGGTGCTTTTTTGAGGGGCCTTTTTAGGGTTTAGGGATTTTTGCTTTTGGGGGCCCGTTTAGGGGCTTGGGGGCTTTTTGGGTTTTTGTGGGGGTTTCCAGGGGCTTCCGGAGTTTTGGGGGCTTTCGGGTTTTGGGGGTTTGGGGCTTCCGGGAGTGATGGGCTCCAGCCGAGGCCACGAAAGCGCTGATGAACATGGCTGGCCAGACCAGCACGGCCCTGGCCCGAGCTTTTGAGGATGCTTCCAGGCTTGTCGGTGGATTTGGCTGCCTCCGAGCCACATACTGACACAAATGAGTTGAACTGCAAAAAGCAGAAGAGAGTTGAGTATTGAGGAGTCGATTTGAGGCATTTTGTGAACATGCTGTGACTGGAAAAGTCATCTGATCTTGGCAGAGGCCTGCTTACTTACTTGTAAGCAGCCAAGCAGCCCAAAAACACAAGTGCACAGCGCTGCCAATACTCTCTACACCCTGAGCCCTAAACCCTAAACTGCCCTGAAACCCAAATTCCGAATCTGAAGCCCTAACCCCGAACCCCCTTGTTGTCCGGATAATAATTAAGTTCATAAAAGCATGGAGTGTCTTGCTTTGCTGAATTTTCGAGGTCGAGGCTCTACCAGACGGATCCCGGTACCGGCGCCACCGGGAGGGGATGCATGTGGTGCAGGGCCCAGTATTCGTTGGAAGGTTGAAGCATTTCTTCTTCAAAGATCTAGAGCAACACTGGGGATGCAGAAGCTTGTAGCGCTCTGAGTCCTGCAGCCAGGTCGTGAGCGCAGTGCCTGCACTGACGACCTGCCTCACCGACACTGACAGATCTTTGGCGTCTTCGTTTCAGGGCCTTTTCGGGCTTGCCATGTATCGGTTGAGTTTTGCTGTGCCCTTCGCCGAGGCATGATTCGACGAGCTGCTGCTCGTTCTCTAGAGAGGCATGGAACATGAAAGTCTACGTGTTCTAGATCGCCCAGGTAGTCCAACTCGCATGGCAGGCTTGGGGAACATGCTGGCACGGCTGTGCCGTCCCTGATCGTGAGCCTCCGCGATCGTGAAGAAGAGGTGCGTGCTGCGGCATCTGCCTCAGAGTCCAAATCCTGAGGTGAACTCGAAGAGCTCCAAAGCATCGGATGTTGGAAGTGCCAAGGTCGCAACGGCACTTGGCCAGTTGGGGCGCGCAGCAGCCGAGGCGCGGGCAGGGGACGTGCTGGCTTGCACACCTCGGCCAAGCCCCAGCGCCTAGCGCAGTGCCAGTACGTAACAGTCTCTCGAAGCCCACCACAACGATTGCAAAGAAGCACAGCCAGTTCATTGCTAGCTTTTTGCTTGCTCCAATAGAGCCCCAAATCCGAAACCCTGTACTCCAAACCCTACACCCCAAGCCGTATAACCCAACAAAAAAACCCGCTGGAGGGGAGTTTCTGAGCCAAGGCCCTGCCAGCCTTACTCCAAGCCTCCTTGGACACGGTGGAGCGTGTGCGGGTTGCCGCCGCTTGTCCTATAAGTACTAGGCCTAGGCCCTCAACACATAATAAGCATCTCCGCATCCGCATTACAAGTATTATGATCATTCTGACGAGCACTACGCCTTTTTGCAATTTTTGCTATTGTTGTTCTTTTTGGATTGTGTTTTGTCTTGTTAGTCGTTTTCAGCATAAAGAAAAGGGCGGTCCTAAAGACCATGAGAACGATCGCGCTAGCGATAACGGTGTTGATAAAGTCAATGTTATGTGAGTTATGTGTGATGCTAATGCGAAGGGTAGTAGCAGTAGTTGTCAGTGTCACTTTTTTTAATCGAGAAAACTTTTCGGTTTGCTGCTTTTGACCCTATACCCTAAAGTTGATGCAAATCTTTCGGAAGTTCTTTGCCTTCTGTATTCAGGCACTGACTTCGCTGGGATACCTCGGTGACTCGGCCTCGAATTCGGGTTGTTGGACTTAGCGGTTTAGGGTTTTCGGGCTTAGGGTGTGGGGGTTTAGGTTAAGGGGTTTGTCATTGGGGTTTTGAGCATTCGGGTGGCAGGCAGCGACCAGCCGAAACACTGAACCCTAAACCCAAATCCTAAACACAAGCCGTTAAAACAACATAACAAATCCTAAACACAAACCGTTACATACACCCCAAATCCTAAACACAAACCGTTAAATACACCCCAAATCCTAAACACAAGCCGTTAAATACACCCCAAATCCTGAACACAAGCCGTTAAATAAACCCCAAATCCTAAACACAAGCCGTTAAGTAAACCCCAAATCCTAAACAGAAGCCGTTAAGTAAACCCCAAATCCTGAGCCCAAACCTTTAAATAAACCCCAAATCCTAAACACAAACCGTTAAATAAACCCCAAGTCCTAAACACAAGTCGTTAAGTAAACCCCAAATCAAATCCTAAACACAAGCCGTTAAATACACCCCAAATCCTGAACACAAGCCGTTAAATAAACCCCAAATCACAAAAAAAACCGTTAAATAAACCCGAATCCTAAACACAAGTCCTTAAGTAAACCCCGCATCCTAAGCACAAGCCATGAATTATCGTGAATTCGAGGTGTGAGCACCACGGCGGTGCTGGAGGTGCTCATGGACGCCTTGGAGGATCCGAGTCACGCGGCTCTCGGTTTTGTCGGTTTGGGAGGTTTGGGGCTTGAAGTAAGACACCGTGGCTAAGACGTTGTGAGGCTCGTAGAGTCGTACAGTTCACGAGTTTACGAAAGCTTCGGCATTCGGGGGTTTTGGGCCCTTTTTGGAGAAGAGTTCGACTCGGATCGGATGCGAGATGCTGATGCAGAGTGTCCCATGCCAAGGTTCCGAAGTCAAAAGTGCAGCAGCGGCTGCGCTGGGCATGCTGAGCATCTTGGCAGTCATTACATCGATAACAACTCTCTGCAAGCAAGCCTCCCCCGTTTGTGATTGAACGTGTCTCACTCTCTGCATCTTTCTGCCAGCCGGCAGCAAGCTGAGTGGTGGCGGTGAGAAAGGTGCGCCGGTGGCCACCGATGCCTTGGCCACTTGCCTGGCTGACGGCCAGAGCCATGTTCGAGCCGCCGCAGCAAAGGCCATCGGTCCCGGCCTCAATTTCCCCAAGAAGTTCCCCAAGACCTCAGACTTTCTAAACCTCGGGAATGTAGGGCCCGGGCCCCAAAATCCCTCAGAGGTCAAATCGGCGGCAAAAGCGCCTCCACCGCGGTGCCGCGACCTCAGCTTGCTGTTGGGGCTCCATGGCCACGGCTCTTTTCGGCTATGAACGGTCACAGTGGTGGTATGCGGATGACAAGCCGGTCTGCCTGTGTTCTTTCACACGTCGCCCTTTCTGCAGCTAAGCCCTAGCCTCTACCGCCTACACCCTATATTACCTTCTAGGATCCGTAAACGAACCCTTCAGGGGCGTAGTATGTCGAAGCTTTACCTAGGCCCAAGCTGCTCCAGACACTGAAAGATCCGGATCACGTCGTCCGACGCTGCTCCGCCGTTTCTTTGGGACGGATCGGGCGCCTTGGCGAAGCTACTGCCTCCGCATTTTCTTAGTAGATTCCTGATCCCATTGCCGGTTATAATATAGGTTTCACGTGTTTTCGTATCCCTCGCACTGCTTACTAGATTGCCGGCAGCATCATGTCCCATTGATACCAACGAGATCTTCCATCTCTCGCGGAAAGGCTCTTGTGCTTTGTGCTGCAAGCACTGCTATGCAAAAGACTGAACAATCATGTGAGTACTGTGGTTTGTGTTCATACCCAGCTGTATGCATGTCGTTGCGGTTTCTGAAAGCTTGCATCATCGTCGCCGTGGTGTCATAAACCCTAAACTCCACAAACCCAAACCCCAAAACCGCCAACCCTAGATGCCACAACCCCAAGCCCCCAAAAACCTAAAGCCTCTTCTGCCCAACTGCGTGCTCGGGACGTCTCTGTCGCTCAGGACCTTTGCGGCCACCGCTGCCCCATACCTGGCGGATGCCATGAGGGATTCTCACGCGCCGGTGGGACTCATCCGTTTCTAAAGCTTGGCATCGGGTTTGGCGTAGGCTCAGTTTACTGTGGGGTTCAGGGCAAGGCTTTCGGAGTACTAGGAGCCACAAGATTCGGGTTTGGAAGTGGGTCTTATAAGTACTTGGGATCAGAATGTTCAGGGCGTAACAGGGTATGAGGCTTTAGGACTAGGCCGAATACGTGACGTCATGTCGAAGGTGCGCGAGGCTGCCGCGGTTTCTATTAGCCGTCTGGGCGTCACGGAGAAAGTCGCGCACAACGAGTCGGCCTCAGTCATCAGACTTCTCACAGGTTAGGTCCTGGGTTGCTTGGGACTCCTTGGCTTTGACACTCGACCCGAAGCCCTTAGCCCGTAGTCCTTACCCCCCAAGCCCGGCCCCTAAAATCCTAAACCCCGAGACCCTCGGACTGCCAAGGTCTGCATCCAATGCTTGGTGAAGCGCGGCCTCACGGACACGTCCAGTGATGTGAGACAAGTAGCAGCCCAAGAGCAGGTTTGGGTTCTTTAGGAGATTCAGGGGTTCTTTCATGCCTCTTTCTCTTTTTTTTGGGGAGGGCGGGCGGGGGGGATCAAGGGCATTTGGAGTTTTAGAGGTTTTAAGGCTTCGCATCACCGGGTTTTGGGGGTTCAGGATTTCGGCGTTGAGGGTGTGCGTGGCTTTCGCAGCAATTTGCGATGTTGACGCCCACAACCCAAGCTCCGAACTCAAGCCCCTGAACCCTTCTCCCCGAAATGCCAAACCCATCATATCGCGACAAGAGACACAACAGATCCACAATTCCACCGCGCAAGCAAGCAGTCCTACACCACAACCCTCAAAATCGGCACAACAAGCCACTGCGAGAACCCTGAACAGCCAAACCCCCAGAATCTAATCTCTAGTCCCCACCCATGTCGATTAAACCCCGAACCCTTTAAAGCACCCTAACCCTATCTCTCCCTTTCTTGGACGGTGGCGGTAAAATGAAAGACTCCGAGCCCACCTGAGTCATGGCAGTAAGAAGAAGAAATAATAATAATAATCATAATAATAATAGTAATAATAATAATACTAATAATAAACATAATAATAATAATACTAATAGTAATAATAATACTAATAATAATAAGAGTAATAATAATAATAGTAATAATAATAATAGAAATAATAATAATAAAAAAAATAATAATAACAATAATAATAATAATAGCAATATATTAAATAATAATAATAATAACTGCTGAAGTGCATGCCTCCGGTTGCAGCTCACGCCACATGTACATGCTTGTTTTCCTTTCTTG